ATTCCGTCCTTACTCCACCTGTGAATGATGAGAAGTGAGTTCACATAACTCAATACGATAAAAATCAAGTTGTAAGTGTAATATGCAGTGACAAGAATTTCCAGAAATGTCTATATGCATTTATCCTACCCAACCCCAACAACTCATAACCCTCTCCCTACACTAATTATCAAGGTCCTATTCCAAGGAAATAGCACGGCCAAACAACCCCACCCACCCAACAATCATCCATTAACTCCCGTCACCAACATCGGCGACTCATACACTCTTCCCCCATCTCCCGACCTCACGAGACCACACACACACACACCCAACCACCTTCATTCCACGTCACCAATATCGGCGACTCATACCCATATCTCCACCTCTCGAGCTAATAGGCCACGCACACACCCACACACCATTATTCCGCATCACCAACATCGGCGACTCACACTCACTCCTCCACCTCTCGACCTAAAGAGGCCACACACACACACAAATACTATCGTCTCGCGTCACCAACATCGGCGACTCATACTCACTCCTCCACCTCTCGACCTAAAGAGGCCACACACACACACAAATACCATCGTCTCGCGTCACCAACATCGGCGACTCATACTCAATCCTCCACCTCTCGACCTAAAGAGGCCACACACACACACAAATAACATCGTCTCGCGTCACCAACATCGGCGACTCATACTCACTCCTCCATCTCTCGACCTCGTTGGGCCACGCACACACACAAACATTTCCACCTCCCGTCACCACCATTCGTGACTCATGCACCCTTCTACCCCTCTCGGCCTTGCTAGGCCACACTCACATACATATCCCCTCCCTGCTCCACCAACATCGGCAACTCAACCTGCCCCTACCAACGGCCTCCAAATCTCCCCTCCCAAACCGCATGCTCCCATCTCCCCTTATACCATGCTAGTCCCAAGCGTTCTAACTTGCTAACTCCTACTGACCACATTACTCCCCTTCTCCCATCCAATCCCCCTCAAATCCTGTTTCCTAGTCCCCACTGCCGTAGCTTCCAGCTCCCTTCCCTCTCCCACTGCCCCCTACCCGCTACCTCCCCCATCCTCCTGCCTCCTCCCGGTTCCTATACACTTTTGCCTACCTAGGGCGATTAACCTCTCCGCTTGCACCGTTTCACGCCACATACACGCCCTCACCACCGTGCATTTCGGGGAAACACATCACCGCCTATTAGCGGCTCCCTCCACATCCCCACCCACGCACACACCACGCACACAACTCTTCTGTCCTCTCGAGTTTTTATCCCACCCGCGCCCCCTAGATTGTTCTCTCACATCCTCCTCACTCTGTTCTACCCGCACCACCCCCATCCTTCCCCACGGCTCCCCACACGCCTCCAACACCGCCATACTTTTCATTCCTTCCCCGATCACCTCCGTGAGCGCGCGGGACAACCCCACGCTTACGGCCTACCTTCACTGCTCCACTCCGTCGCGCCATTGCCGACGCCGCAACCTACAACAAAATTCTCTACACACACACACCACACCAAACAGCTCAAATTTTCACCGTACCTCCCGTTTCCATCTTCCTTCTTCCTGCCGGTCGCGTCGTCCGTCCACGGCCTCCTTCCCTCTCCCTTCTCGCTCCCCTCCGCCCCGACTCTCTCCTCTCTCCTTCTGGAACTTTCCTCTTCTTCTTCGTCTCCGCTGTCCTCCTTCCCTCATTTTCTCTTTTTCTCTTTTTCCTTTTCTTTCTCTTTTTTTTTCTTTTCTCCTTTTTTCCTTCTCCCTTTCCCGACCTCCTTTTATACTCTGCCAGCCTACCCCAAAACGACGTCGTTTTCCTACATCCCAAAACGACGTCGTTTTCCTTTCTTTCAAAACGACGTCATTTTTCTCCTCTCTAAAACGACGTCGTTTTTATTATTATTATTATTTTTTTTTCTATTCTTTCTACTTTCTAGTCCTTACAAATATAGAGCACTTGCCCTGATTAATTTGATTAAATACTGTTTTGCCACTGCATATATATATATATATATTAAGATAATAATTAAGAGAACATGGTTGAAACTCGGGTTAAACCAACTTGAGAGGAAAGGCTCGTTAAGAAACATGTGGATCTTTTTGAAAAGAGATATCGAGATGTTGTATGCGTGAATTTATTAATGATGTGTTGATGCATGTTTATGTATGTTCACTTGCTTATACATATATAAACACGGCTTTAT